GGAAAGAGAGAGCAGGAATAGCACCCCCTCCCCAGTGGGGTGTGGTTATAGCACAGACCTTTTTCCCCCATTTCTCCATCTTAGTAGATTTTGGGTGCCTGCGTTCCATGTGTACTTCTCAAGCCACTGGGACCAGGATTCGAACTGCTGTCAATTGTGTGGGATCTGCTCTTTTAACCACTGAGAAACTGGGTCAGCCTTAAGGGTGGGACTTTTTGTAGTAAAAATAGCCTTTTTACAAAGAAATTTCAGAGCCAGCAGGTGGCATGGTGGTTATGGCACTGGGTTCCTACATGGTCGACCACGATTCGAGTTCCAGATTTGGCAGCTTGCTTTCTTGCTCTGTCATGTGCACGCACACTCTTGTGAGCACATGTGCCCTATAGCAAATTAAAAAAAACTAAAATATGTTTTAAAAAATGGAATGGGATTTCTACCTTCCTTCCTTCCTTCCTTTCTTCCTTTCCTTTCTTCCTTCATCTCTCCCTCCCTCTCTTCCTTCTTCCTTCTTTCTTTTATCTTTCGTTTTTGCCCTAGGGTACATGCAATGACCAGAGGGGTAAAGTGAGAAGTCACCCCCTAGAGTGGGGGAGATGGACATGTTGCCATCTCTTTTCCTCCAGTCTCCTTTCAGGGTTTTGGGCATGTACTTGCATGGGTCCGGTATGATTTTTCAAGCCACCAGGTCCAGGGCTTGAACTGCGGTCACCCATTTGGGAGTCACTGCCTTAACCACCATGCCAGCTGTTGGCCTCCAGTAATTTTGCTAAAAGTTTTTTTTCTTTATTCACAATAGAGCATGCATATTTGCATGTGAGAAAGAGAGATGAACACCCTTCACAGGGTCTGGTCACACTACAGTTCCCTTCCTCCAGCCCTCCAGCCTTCCTGCCCATTGGAGCTTGGGCACTTGCGCAGATGCCTGGTGTGTTTCAGGCTGACCAGACCAGGGATTCTACACCTCCGTACCATGGAGCCAGCTCCTAGGAATTTTTAAATTTTGTTTTAATCTGTGGGTTAAGGTTAACATGATTAAAACTTGGGAGTCATTTGGAAATAACGGGTTAAATATAGCCTGCCTAAGTAAATGTAAAGTGTTAATACAGAGATGTTATTGAAGACTAGATATATTTTTCTAACTCTTTTGTATTGCATTTCAGTCTTGAATATTTTCCTTTATAAATCAAATATGTATTCATTGTGTTAATATGTTGCTGTTTAGATTCAGTCAGGGCTCTAAGTTACTAATTTTAAAAGTTGTTAGTGTTGAATTTTATATATTTTATATTCATTTGATTTAAAAACTATGAGCTTAAAGTCTTGATGTTTATTATTTATTTGTATGTTTATATTTTATAGCTGGTGAAAGTGTTGGTAGGTGGGAATAGTGGCATTGTTTTTACTTTCAGGAAGTATCCTACAGAATTGATATTTTAATTTGGCATGTGAGATTACTGATTCTTCTTTAGAGTTATGTATAAAATGAAAAAATATATTTGGAATAGTTTAAAAATACCTTATTATGTTCGAATGCATGCATCTTTATTCCTTCTAAAATACAGTTAGACAAAAAGCCAGAATTTTTTCAACATGAATTTAAGGAGGTAGCTAAGATAAAAATAAAATACTAATTTACCCTTTCTTTCATTTTCTTTTGTTTTGAAACAGAGAAACCTCCTAATAAAAGCAGTATGAGGATAGTAGTAGATTCAGAATCAAGGAAAAGAACCATTGGTTCTGGAGAGCCTGGAATTGCTACAAAGAAGACATGGTTCGATAAGTAAGCAGGCAGGGGAAATTGAAGCGTTTTATTGTGCACTGATTTTCTGGGATCGATATTACTGCATTATTATGACAACATAGTGTTTTCTTTAAAAAAGGGTAGTAGTATTCAGTAGATAATCCTTCAATGCTGATTCTTTTCTAAAAATTTGTAAGCTAATTGTCTGGTGCAGTTTTCTTACAGGAGTGGAGTAGTTGTTGAGGACATAATTTTTCTTCCTTTCACTTACCACTTATCCAAAAATAATCACTTCCTAATTAGAATAGACATGTTATTGGAGACTAGGGATATATAGTATTGTCCTGAGCTCCCCATCATTAGGAAAAGGATGTGTGAGTTAGATCTGGGAAGAGACTGTATCATGTAGACAGTTCCTATTAGGAGTTAGAAAGGCTTTTTGGGAGTTGAGGCTGGCTAGGGACTGAGTTGTTACAGGAGGGCTTCAGAAAAAGAAGGGGTAAGGCATCAATGATGGGAGTGTAGCTGATGATTCATTTATATTTTTACATTACAAGGAAAGACTAAGATCACACTTTTAGAGCTTTTAACATTTATGTAAAAGTGGATAGTTTCTAGTTCTGGTTCTGCAGTTCTGTGATTTAAGGCAGATAGTATAACCTCTGAGTCACGGTTTTTCCCATTTTTTCAGATGTCAGATATATGATCTATAGTTTTAACAGTTCTTTTTTAAGTTGGGAATAGGTTGAGATAGCAATTCTTCACATAAAAGAAAATAAAATTTAAAATCAAGTTTTAAAATTAATCAAAAAATGTTATGATGGGATACATTTCAGTAACCTAACTTTTAGAGAGATGGAATAAAGGCTATGTATACAGTTTTTCTGAAAGAGGGTAATATGATCTTTCCTGCTAAGAATGTTAAGTAGGATCATATTAGAACTGGAAAGTCACAAGTGATATGGTAGAATCCTTCTCAGTTGGCTTCCTTAAAATATGCTGAGACTGTAATTTGGAAGCTTAGTTTGGAAAAAATTTATCAATCAGTACTTTCTTTCTGTTTGGGGGAAAAATGGAACTTAATTGAACATTCATTTTGCATGTGAAACTGTTGCTTTGTACTTTAGTAGTGGTTAGAATTTATAAATGTATTAATAACTTGATTTTTGTTTACAGGCCGAACTTCAATAGGACAAATAGCCCAGGCTTCCAGAAGAAGGTTCAGTTTGGAAATGAAAATACCAAACTTGAACTTAGAAAAGTTCCTCCAGAATTAAATAATATTAGCAAACTTAATGAACATTTTAGTCGATTTGGAACCCTGGTTAATTTACAGGTAGGAGCCATAAAATGACTCTGCCATCTCTGCTTAATTATTTAGAGAACTTAATGTAATTTAAGAAAACGGCTTTGGGGAACCAGCAGTTATCATAATGGCTATGTCGCTGAACTCCCACATAGTCGACTGTGGTTCGCGTCTGGGACCCGGTGGCTTAAAATTCACGCCGGCACGTGTGCGTGCGTGCCCAAGATCCCGAGAGGAGAATGGAGGAGAAGGGATTGCGGCGTGACCATCCCCCCTGGGGGGTGATTTCTCGCTTTCTGTCTCTTTGTCTCTCTCTGTCTGTCTGGCGAGCGCATGCGCCCTAAAGTGAAATCCTCTCAAAAAAAAAAAAAGAAAACGGCTTTTGTGGAGAAATATGAAAAATTTGTTAATCTGAATTTAGAAAATTGGACATAAAGTGAAATTTTACTTTTTAGAAAAATGTATGATTTTGAATTAGTGTTCTGCTTTCAAAAGGCAGGAGTTTTGATTGATCATATTATTATAAACTTCTTAACTAATAGAGGTTATACAGTTACAGCAAATTTAAATCACTTTGGTAAAATCTAATCTTATAGTAATTTTATTTTCCTCAATTTCACAAAATAATTTCAGCAGAATACTTAAGTGAGGTGTATTTTTGCTACCTCTGTGGCAAAACATACTTTTGGACCCAAATGCTATGTGATATTTAATTAGTTTAAGCATTTACTTTTTCTTTGGCACTTCATAAAATGCTTTGCTCTAGGGTATGTGCACTCATTAGAGAGAGAGAGAGAGAGAGAGAGAGAGAGAGAAAGAACACTCCCCAGGGGGGATGGTCACATCGCAGTCCCTTCTCCTTCCTTCTCCTTGGGATTTTGGGCATGCACACACATGTGCCGGTGTGATTTTTTTTTTAAGCCTCCAGGTCTGGGACTCAAAGCACAGTCAGTTGTGTGGGATCCAGCTCCCTCACCTCCACGCCATGTACTAGCCCTCTCTTTTCCACTTTTTTACCATCCTTCAAGATAAACACGGTCATTTATATTTGATTTCACCTAAAATTAGTCTTTGGCCTGGGTGTATTTAACTCGTGAAGCTTTTTAGTATGTATATTATTTGATACATGAAGCATTGAAATAATGTGTTGGTCTTTCCTGTTGTTGAATTTTTTTTTCAATTAAAAAAATGATGTTCTATAATCCAATGAAAATGAATACATTTTAAAAAGATACAGCCTATCTTAAGTTGATATTTTGGTCAAGTTTGTTCTTTTTTCATTTAAAAAGTACTGTTTGGGGCCAGCAGATGGCGTGGTAGTTAAACTGGAGGAATCCTCCACTCTGTTGTTCAAGTCCTGCACCTGGCAGCTTGAAAAATAGGCCAGGCATGTGTGCATGTGTGTCCAAAATCTCAAGAGGAGAATGGAGGAGAACGGATTGCAGTGTGGCCATTCCCCTTTAGGTTGGGGGGCAATTTCTCAACTTTGCGTTTCTGTGTATGTGTTTCCAGCAAGCACATGTACCCTATAGCATAAACCTTAAAAACAAAGTACTGTTTGGCCACGCTATGGCGATTAAGGCAACTGGATCCCACATGACCAACTGTGATTTGAGTCCTTGACCCTGTGGCTTCAGAAATACTCTCGCATTGTCCGTAAGAGTATGTGACCAAAATACCAGGAGAAAGAAACGGAGGAGAAGGGATTGTGGTGTAACCATTACTCATGGGCCTACTTTCTTTCTACCCCTTCCCAAGCAGTGGTATGTGCAATCTGGCAAAATTAAAAAGAAAAACAAAGTACTATTATAAAAGTAATAGAGGATGGGGGCCAGTCAACAGGTGGCTTAGTGGTTAATGTGTTGGACTCCCACATGGTCGACTGTGATTTGAGCCCTGGACCTGGTAGCTTGAAACTCACACTGGATGCATGTGCATGTGTGCCCAAGATCCCAAGAGGAGAACGGAGAAGAGATTGAGGTGTGGCCATCCCCTCTGGGGGGTGATGTCTCTCTGTCTGTGTCTTTCTCTTCAGTGAGCATGTGCGCCCTATAGCAAAAATCTCTCCAAAAAAAAGTAATAGAGGAAAAACGTGTGTTTGCTTGGGTTAGGGCAAAGGATACAGATCTACCTATATATATACACACACATATATATAAAATTTTATATATTTATATATATAAAATTTCTCCTTCAACTTTTTAGATCCCTCACTTTCCTCCACCCATTTTAATTACATTATTATTACAGTGTACCACTTGTTAAAAAAATTTTTCTTTTCAAATTAATTTTACATTTTGCATTAAGTCTCCATCACGTTGTGTACCGTGTCTGTGTGTGTTTGTGAGTGTGTGTGTGTGTATTTTTTTTTAAACAGATCACTTAAATTTTTTGTCTATTAAATGGTTCTACTGGGGTTGGCAGGTGGCATGGTGGTTAAGGGTACTTGACTCCCAAATGACTGACCATAGTTCAAGTCCTAGACCTGGCAGCTTGGTTTCTCACTCTTTCTCTCTCTCTTTCTCTGTCTCTTTCTGGTCAGATTTAAAAGAAAAATTATAATAAATAAAGTAATTCTTTAAAAATATGTTTCTTCCCTTTGTACCTCATACCCACCCTCTATAGATGTTTTTGTGGTATGTTTTTATATCTATTCATATACAAAATTTTATTAAATATATAAAAATTAAATTTAAATATTACAAAATTAAAAATATTTATTGACCTATAGAATATATATATTGTAGTTATTTACTTAATGTTGAGTATCTGAATTTTTTTTTTTGGAGGGGTTTTTGCTTTAGGGCAGAAAGGGAGAAGTAACCCCCCAGGGGGATGGACACGCCGCAATCCCTTCTCCTCCACTCTCCTCTCAGGATCTTGGGCACACATGCACACACACCCGGCGTGAGTTTAAGCTACCAGGTCTGGGCCTCGAACTGCGGTCGATTACATGGGAGTCCAGCGACATAGCCATTACACTAACTTCTGGTCCCATTATCTGAATTTTTTTAATACCAATTAAATTTGACCTATCACATTTATATTTAGATAATAAAAAAGTTCTCAGAATAGTTTTTCTTCGCACAATTAACTATACTCCAAATATTAATTTAAAAATATTTTTCAAAGCTGAAGGCAAACATTAGGTATCTGATTATTTCTCTTTGCATTTACTCAGCTCCTAGTGAGGTCTTTTTACTGGTCATTTTGCTTTGTCTGCATACTATATACATATTTTGGGCAAAATACATGTTTTTTTTTCTTTTCTTTTTT